GTGATGAGGATTATTAACAAACCCACTACAACTGCGGTTGCTTATGGGTTGAACAAGAAATTGTCGAGGTCTGGTGAGCATAACATTTTTATCTTTGATTTGGGTGGCAGGACTTTCAATGTTTCAATGTTAACAACTGAAGAAAGTATCTTCGAATGTTTCAATGTTAGCGACACGAACTTGGACTAGCCCGGCACGATGGTCCACGGGTCGTGCCAGGCCTTGCACAATCATGCGGGCCGTATTGGGCCTAGGGTTTTAGGTCCATGGGTTGACACGGCACGGCACGGCACGACCAAGCGGGCCAACATGACCCATATATATTTTATATATATTTCTATAATATTATATAAATTATAATTATATTATATAGTATATAATATATTAATAAAATAATTTTTTTTTAATTTTATTATACTAATTTATTTAATTATTGTATATATAAGCAATTGTATACACAAAATTCATATAAAATTAAAATTTTTAAGTTTTTTGTCAATTTTTTTTAAATAAATAGCTTTGGCCTGATGCATGGCTCGATCCATGGGCCAGCCCGACCCGTAGCACGGCATGGGCTCATACAGGCCTGGGCCATAGACCGTGCTGGGCCGACCCCCAAAAGTTTCACCAAAGAGGGTGTCACGGCCCACTTTACACCTCTAGAGAAGGGAAAATTAGTTTGGGGTGTTTTCATTTGTTTTCCAAACTAGAGAATGACCCCTACTAATTAGTATTGTAATATTTCTTTCATTCATGCATTCTCATCATTTTTTCTCACCTTTTGAGAGTGGAGCCGTTTGAATCTCATACTTTTTTTTGTTGAGTAGGTAGATATATGTATTAATAAGGGTAATTAAATTGTGAGACTATTTTTTGGAATCAAACCAATACCACCAAATTTTGAAAACCACAAACCAAAACCAATCAATTAACTAATTGATTAGTTCAATCTTTTATGGAATCAGTTTTTTGATTTTTGGTCTTTTTGAATTGATAATATATGTTCTATATAAATGTATAATTTATTATATAAATACTAAAATATATTTAATATAGTATATATTATAAATAAATATGTTTTTATATATAATGCATATATGTTTAATTTTTTAAAATACCTTCAAGTTTTCTAATAGTTGTCTAAAATCTTGCATTTAACTTTTTATCACACTCCGTTCACATGTGACGTCAAGTGACTAATCAGCAATGCAGTGTGAATGGAGTGTGATGACCTGGTTCTTGGCTGCATTGCGGATCAACAATCCTCATCACTATGAATGGAG